GGTTTTAGGGTTTCGGGTTTGAGGGCTTTTGGTTTTCAGGCTTAGAGGTTTCAGGGTTTTGGGTTTTTAGGGTTTAAGGTTGGGGTGTCAGGGTTTGGGGTTTCAGGGTTTTGGATTTTAAGACCTACGGAATCAGGGTTTGGGTTGCAGGGCTAGGGTGCAGAACGCGAATGCCGTGAAGGTAAAGGAACCTCCGTAGACATTTGGCAGCAAGTTTGCGTTGCACTGGGGCCTGATGCATGTTTTCGAGAATCCAAAGCCCAGTTGTTCGATTTTAGTTACCATGTTGCCCAATATGTAAACTTATGTTTCCTGGTTTAGAAGCCATACGGCCTCATAGAAACCTTTGTCGCACCCGCAGAAGCCATCGGAAGCCCACTGGGTCCTCATAAAGACCCAGGGCTTTTCGGGGATTGAAAACGGTTAGAACCTCATATTCACCCATATAGAAGCTCGTGGAAAGCATTCTGAAACCCGTTCTAGAATGAGCTCGATAGAAGCTCTATTTAAGTTATGGAGGCCCGCTAAAGTCCAATCGAAACTCTTGAAAAACCCGAAATTAACCCGTATACTTGTACATGTACAGCTTCATAGAAGCAGTATAACCGTATAAAAACCAACAGAAATTCTACAAAGAGTGGTAGCGACCGCTCCAGAAAGCACAGTGAAAGCCTCTTGTAGTCACCCCCGCCGACCACCTCAATCTAAAAGCCTAAAGAGCCCGTTCCTTGGGGTTCCTTTGATAGTTACACTATGGCGTACCCTCAAACCCTATTATTGTTGTTAATGTTTCTGTTGTTGTTAATTTTGTTATTGTTTTTACTTTCCTAACGCCGCGATATTACCCATACCCCCGTGAAGAAGCCTCTGGAGGACACTGGAGCCGTTTGGGCAGTGGATGAGCTGCTGACATCGGCCGTCAGAGAAACGGGCAGGCGTCATGAGGTTCTACAGGTGTTAGGCCCCTCCGGCAGGAACGCATATAAATCTTGTAGCGCCCCGCTGTTGGGGCAGAGTTTGCAGTCTTTGCTAGGGTTTGGTCACTACTACCAGTATCATCATCATCATCAACATCATGATCTTCCTCTGCATTGTTGTGACCCCTTCCAGAATGAACACTAACAGAGACGGCACTGTCCTTTGCTAGCTGTATCTAGCTGTCTTTCTGTGTTGATGTTGATGATTTCGTTGTATCTTGTAGTAACTCTACCATGATGGGTGTCATGTCATCAACATGTTTCGATTGATTGTAGCATTTGCATCCCAACCTGAAGGCACGTGGCGCTCATTGTGAACATTGAGCGGCCTGATGACGGCTCACTGGAAGTTCGTGGCAGTGGAGGCGTGCGCTGGAAGGGTTCAGTTAAACAGGTTTCGTTTTCCTAGAGATGAAAATATTGGTGGAAATGATTTTGATTGGCTATCTCAACTGACATACAGGTATAAGACAAGCCTGTCCGCTGTCGCCCTGTTTGTTTTGCTTAGTAATGGGAGCCTTATTTCCACATATCAAGGTTGAACTCAACACTCGCAGGCAGCATCAGCCTGTTGATGTCATTTATTTCTCTGAAATACCATTCGCAGATGACACCCTCACACACTGTGTCAATATTCTTCTACATGCAATAGAGAGACATTCAGTTTACTACGGTCTCGGTTTGAATTATGGAAAATGCTCGAATTTCACTGCGAATCAAAGCAATCTTCGGTCACATTCTCCCGCCCCAGGCCCGGCCCAAGAGAAAGAACTGGGCCGCCTACCTCCAAACCCTGCTAGCAGAGACACCTTCGACAACAGAGCTGAAGTTCCCAAGAGAATTGGTGACTGTATAGCTACATGCAACCGTGTGAAGTTGTTCTGGAATAAAGCCAGCAGCAGCATAAAAGGCAAAGTCCAAAGCTTTCACCGCTATCGTCCGGTCCAAATTACTCTACGGGTTAGAATGTGCACAGCTCATTACCGCCGAACTCGCTACTCTAATTGCCTTCCAGAGCAGGTCGTTGTGATGAATTTCGCACCTCCCACCAACATTTCATTGACAAAGAGCAGGCTCATGCTAGCATGTGTGATAAAGTACGAAACGACTATGGATGCTCTCTTGAACACGTTGCGGACAAATGGCGCAAGGCAAAGTTCAAAATTTTTGGACACGTATTGCCAGCCAGCCCCAGAGACCCTCTAACCCTGTTTAATATCACTGTCAAAACAGACGAACTGACACCTAGAGCTCGGCGGCCAGGCAGGCAAAAAAAGGATTGGACCACTGAAGCTTATAAAGATGCATTTCGAATGTGGCATGGGGATGTTAACGCTTTTGATGTCAATAATATACATTATCCTAACTGAGATCAAACCGTCAGCTAGAAGTCATAAAGGACCTTTTGCTATGCGACATGATGTATGTTTGCATCGGGACGCAGTCCGAAAGGCCGTTGGCGTCGCAAAGTCTTTCTCGCGGTAATCTCGTCATCTTTGCTTGGGAAGCCTGTTGCCAGTTTTCCATTTCTAGTTTAGTTTCTTCCTTGCAGCGCTAATTCTCTTGAAGGTAATGTATCCTTTCTGACTGCTGAACATGTCTCACTGTCGTAGTGTACCTCTACTCGTGCCTTGCATTTTCGCAAACCTCTTGGAACCTCTCTGCGCTCGACGAAATAGAGGGTAGATTAAACCACCAATTGCCACTGCGGCCGTAAGTCCTAAGCCCTAAACCTTGTAACCCTAAACCCCTAAATGCTAAACCCGTTAAATAGGTTTGCAGCAGCCAATGGTCTGAGAAGCTATGGACTTTGGTTCCAAGATGATCTTCGGTTGAGGGTTTAGGAGTTAAGGGTTGCTGGCCTGTTTTGGCTTGGATGCAAGCTGCATGAATGCCTACGAACAGAATTTTATTCTGCATGAAGCAGGTGGTCCGGCAAAACATGCAGTTTGGTATTCCATACTGGCTTACTTTGGCTTGGATAGAAATTACATGACTGTTTCGAAAAAGAACTGGTTCTGCATGAAGCACGTTGTCCGGGAAAGTATGGAATTTGGTTTCGTTGGTTGGTGTAGTCCATCGACCAGAAGAGGTTCAACAACCACCTGCTGAAGAGAAGCTGTTGGAGTTACGTGACGGCTACAGGAGGGCAAAATCAACTACATCCTGGGTAAGACTAGCAGCAACCTGTATCGAGAACACAGTCACACAAAATGTTGCCGTGTAATGTTGTTGTTTTTCTACCTAAACCCTAAACCCTAAACCCTAAACCCTAAACCCTAAACCCTATAGTGCACCAACAGACCTCAAATCAGGACCGTCAGTCTGACCGATTGGTCGACTAGCGACCTTCCTTTTAGCCATGGTAGGGGTTAGGGTTTAGGGTTTAGGGTTTAGGGTTTAGGGTTTAGGGGGGTATTTCCTTTTCCCCAGAGTCGACTACTCATAGGTAAGTCTCACTCTTGAAATACCTGGGCATCCAGCCTGTAATGATTACTGTATTGCTGGCCCTGTTGAGGATCCTCTGAAGTAATTAGTTCTTCTGAAAATGTCCTTTTCTTGTAGGCCTCCTTATTACTGTTTTCAGAACTTGGGACTTGGGGCATTCTTGGAAGTGTTTCACCTCCTCCGACTGCGCACCTGTCCGAGTGTGAGCACCGGAGCCCTAAACTTAGAGTAAGGATCCCGCGTCAAGCCCCCTATAAGCCCTTGAACCTCCGGCTTAGAGGAGGAGACGACTGACTTGCTCACTCTGGCACCCTGCGTTGATCTTATTACTTAGGGCCCTTCATTAAAACTGAAAGCAGGAAACAAGGGTAGGATTTGGAGTTTAGGTTTTCGGGTACCCTCATGCAGGGCCAAATTGCATGAGAAGATGGATTTAGTCCTAACCTTAAGCGGGATCCCGCACCCCAGACACTAAAGCCATCAAGCCTCAAAACGCCCTAAACCCCAACCCTAGATCCTAAACCCAAGAGAGGCACCGGAAGTGAATCCCTTTTTGCCGGAGGTCTGGCCGAGCCCTACTCCACGGACACGGACGCTGACATGGGACTATTGGGGGTCGGAATGTCTAATTCGTAATACTATATCCCAAGAGTCCCCCATAGCAGTATTATGTAGCATACCCTATAACACCTGGCACAAATTATTGAGGCTCCAGTCGTAGTGTATCGCTTTGTACTACCGAGTTTAGGCCAGGCTTTGGGATAGGTCCTGATAAAAGGTCCCGTCCTGGGTGCTCCGATTACAGGAAGGGCCCTCCGGTTACGCAGTTCTGCAAGTTCAAGACGTTGCGGTTTCGGATTTCTAAGCTCCGACGACGATTCCTGAACTGTGAATCTGCAGCTTCCGTGTGCCGCGTACTCGAATTGTCCGTGAACCTGTGGGTTCGGGCTTCTTGAGGGTTGGGGTTTAGGGTTCAGGATTTTTGGCTCTGGGGTTTAAAGTTTAGGATTTTTGGCCTTAGGGTTGTTGGTTTTAGGGTTTAGGTTTTTGTGGCTGTAGGGTTTAAGATTTTTGGCTTGTGTGTTTCTGGCTTTAGGGTACAAGCAGCTAAGACGGAAATGACGGCCCAGACCTCGGCAGGACTTGATGATGTCCACGGCGCCGGGGCATCCTTTCTTCTACGAGGCAACACAAGCCAAGCTACGGCGACGACTGCAATCCCTTTGAAATTCATTAGGCATCTTCCTACCCGCATAATGATAGTCATAATCATGGGGTTTGGGCTGCTACATACACCGGCTCTATGGCATTGTAACCTGGATCTTGGTCTCAGAGCACTCGGATGGCGCTGCATCTCAGTCTAGAGGAGGGACTTTAAAATCCGCAGACCACAGACCCCAAAACCACCTCCCTGCAACGTTTCGGCTGAGTTAGGGTTTGGTTTATGGGGTTCAGGCTTTAAGGGTTGAAGGAGGTCTCTTTCGAACGCCAGGAAACCGTGCTTTCACACAGCTAGTTCCCTAGAGCTACATGTGAGCACTGTTAGACTGTTCGGGTTTCTAAATCGGGCCTGTTTAACGGCAAGCATCTCTTGAATGAGGGTTCCCACGTAAGCCCTAAACTTCTAAAGCCCTTAAGCTTACGCCCTGAATCCTAAATGTCAAACCGGTACCGGCCGCAGGCGTTGAAGAGCATCCGGGAGTACGTGTCCAAGCACAAGCAGACGGTATGCGAGCGAGACAGGCCTCTCGACGTTCGATTAGGGTTTAGGTTCTAGGGTGTAAGGGTTTAGGATTATGGTTTAGGGTCTTTTGAGTCTTCAGAGCTTGTAGGGTTTTGGGATGAGGGTTTATTCAATCGGTCATGCGGATTGTCACGAAGCGAGACACGTTTGGCGACTAAACCGATTCCACTAAGAGCTAAGTCGAGCAGCAGTCACTTGCCTGTCTGCGGGCACGGCGATGGGCTCACCACGGCGCCACAAAATTTGGCACGCATTTTACATCTGGAGTGGCAATGTTAACAGAATGCGTGGGGTTTAGGGCCTCGGGTTTTAACTGGAGCCATGCGGTTGGGTTTTTTCAGACTCCGAGCCCAGGCCTAGATAATTACGAACACTATTTTGGGGGTTCCTTATTATAACTAAAGTATAAGGGGCCCCAAAACCCTATTCTGATTTTGCCGAGTTGATATTGCATTTTTGGGGCGATTCGGATGCCTGGAGTGACGGGGTAACCCTGAAACCCTGCCGTGTCAGCCCTGATGAATCGTACACAGTCACAAGTAGTATCACTGTGTTACAATGAGTATTAGCAGTACCGGTATACAGGAGTGTGAGCAACAAGGGTAACAGATGATCAGGCAGTTGGTGAATGGTGGCAGGTTATATAAGTTTGTGGCAATACTAACAAGAGGAATCCCGACTCTTGAGGAGTACTCCGACATACGACCTCATGTTCCTCACGGCGCCTTGGCTTCGACAGGTCTTGATATCTTGCTCAGACCCCCCCACCCCCAACCAGGCCCCGATACTGCATCGTCAAAACCAAGCGGGCTCAGAGTTTATAGCTTACATCCCCAGTATGACTGCAATACGGTGTAGTATACGCCAAACCCTAGTCTCTATATGGTGATACTATCCTGTAATTTACCCCTGTAATCTACCCCTTAAGCCGCATTCCAACTGTTAGGGCCCGGAAAAAGAGATGGTTTGGTGTCTTCCCATGCTGCTGACAGAGGGTTTTAGGTTTTCGGAATTTTGGGCTTCAAGTTTAGGGTTTAGGGAGTTCAGGGTTTAGGCTTTCTTTGGGAAGCATCACCAGTTCCGAATAGAGAGTTAGTTAAAGTCGTGGACCATACAGCCTATCCCGCCCAGAGCCGACGTTCGCCCGACGACCTGCAAGCACCGATGACGTAAAGCACGCTTTTGTCGAAAGTGTTGGTGGGTTAATGTTTATGGTTCTCCTGCTGTTTATGTTACCTTGGCATTGCAATCACGCCAAAAAGCCGCAGGGCTTGCAGCATGGGAGTATTTGTTCTGCTGCAACTACTACGACGACCTACTGCCCCTAAACATGATAGCAATTCATAGCTTTAGAAGTAACGATGCATGTAGTTTGTAAACATGTCACACTGAGCAGTCCCTTCTTCAGCAGATCAAGCCATTATGAACATAAGTAGCACTTGAAGATCTAGTCCTTGCCATACTCAGAGTCGTAAGACGACAACCCTCAGAGAGCCCTTCTAACATCTTACAGCAAGCCCGATCATCAACCCCATATTGCACCGTTCAGGATGCCCTCTGATAACCTGTGGTGGGCCCTTGTAGTTCCTCTAACTTTAGTACGCCCTTTTATGATAAGACCTCATTGAAGCCGCTAATATGAACCCTGGAATCCCTTTAGCCATCCCCTGTCAAGGCCTAAACATCAACCCCGTCCCCTAGACACTATAAGAAGCCCTTTTTATATAAGCCCTGAAAACCTAAAATAAACCCTAAGCCTTAAACTAAGCCCCTAATGCCCTAAACGAAACCCTAAAGCCCTAAACTAAAACCCTGAGCCCTAAACTAAACCCTTAAGCCCCTAAGGCGTGGGGGCGGCTCTCGATGCTGGCGCGCGCTTGGTCAGCAGCTGGTCTTAACCAGACGAGCCTCCAGTTCTTGGCCGCGCGGATGCAGTTGTTCTAGGGGTTTAAGGGGTTCTTGATTTAAGGATCTCTTTTGAAGAGGTTTCGGGGGCTATGGCTTAGGGCTAAAGAGGGTTTAGGGTTTAGAGTTTAGGGGTTTAGGGGTTAGGGGTTAGGGGTCAGGGGTTAGGCTGGCCCCCAATCGCCAAGGAATCTCTTTTCCTACGCGAGCCAGTGGATGCCACCTTCGCCCACCTTGCTTTGCATAGCCTCGCCAACCTCAGTATCGAGGTCCGGGTCGCTTGTGTGGTTTGCACTGTAGAAGAAAGAAAGAACAACTAAAAATAAAATTCCTGAGGGTTCTTTATCAGAGTTCATAAGTCTGCCATCATAGGCCGCTAATGGCAGGGTAACCCTACACCACTTCAAAGTTCAGAGCGGGTTGTTGGGTCCACCCATATTCGAGGGAGTTTGGAAGCAGAGGTTGTTTTTCGGGACTCGCGGCTTGAAGCTACGACAAACAGCACCAAAAAGAACTAGCAACCACAACATGTGCCAGGAGATTCAACTACATCCGCCGCCAAAGAGTGAGCTGCGTCTTGAGCGTTTCTTGAGCTGAAGTCAGAGTCCTTCCATCTTATTGAGCCGGTACTGTTGGGTTTTCGGGTGTTACGCTGTGCGGCTCTGCGCCGTCGGGGATTTTGCTGCCAAAGAAGCTTAAGCCTTCAGCTTAAACTAAGCATGGCTAAGGGTTTCGGACTGGTGGTTTGAGTCTGCGGGACTTGTGATGATGGGCTTTCGAGGCTTGAAGTTAAGGGTTTAGGGTTCCGGGTTTAGGGGTAGGGTTTAGGGTTTGGGGGTCGGGTTGAGGGTTTAGGGGTCGGGTTGAGGGTTTAGGGTTTTAGGGGAAGGGTTAAGGACCTAGCTGAGACAACCGTGACTACCGCGGCTGCCTTTAGGCCCAGACCTGTGAGTTTGAGCCGGAGGGCTCCTTATATCTACTGCTCTTAGGAGCTCTGTTTTAATTTAACTCCAGTAGTTTTATTTTTCTTATAATGTAACTCCAGGGGATAAATAAGAAGAGCGTGTCTAAGGGCGGCTAAGCTGCCCGAGCATCAAAATTGAGTGTTCAGGACTTGTTCCCCGTAGGGTTTAGGGTTCAGGGGCTTTGGGTTTAGGGTTTCACCCTGAGCTATTTTGACAGGGCTGTCGAGGCTGAGATGTACAACGTAGGGCCTGGCTCGAGCAACAGGGGTGTAGGTTTTAGGAGAAGTTGCAGGGAAGCTACCGAACGGACGACTTCGCATCCGAATTAATCTCGATCGTGAGCCAAAGGCGCAATCTTCACTAGTGTTATTGAATGTTGCTGAACTGTCTGAAGCCGGGTTTCGGGTTTGGAGTTTGCAACACTTTCCCCCCCAAGAGAGGCTCTTGATTTCAGAACGTAAACCTTAGCCCGATGTCTTAACTCCTAATCCTAGAACCCCAAACCTTATCCCCTAAACCCTGAAAGCGCTGAACCTCTTACAGGACCCTTATAGAACCCTATATATACACATATTATATATATATACACATACA